CGTGGGCCCGCGCGGCCGCGGCCCGGCCGACTGTGACCGGCTGCGCTGCCCCTGACGGGGGGAGGCTGGCAGGTCGTCTCAGAGCTGGGTCGGCCCCGGTGGTGAGCACGGGCGCTTGCTGCGTGTTGAGGACGTACTCGGCCGGCGGCGGGCGGCCCACGCCTGTGAGCTCGCTACTCCGGAGGCCCAGGTCTGAGGATCGCGGGCAGATACGTCTGTGAGACGTCGGATGTTTTAGAATGGCAGCTTTGAGCCAAGGGACAGCACCTGGACCCTGAGTTCAGGGCCCAGTACCGGCACCAGAAAATAAACCCTCGTCAACGGTGCATGTGCTCGGGGAACAGCCACTGCACAAGCTACAACCTGCTCATGCTGGGGAGAGGCGATGAGAGTGGACAGGGTAGTCCCTAGAGTCTAGGCTTTATTGAGTGAAGGTCTCATTCCTTTGAAAAGTCAGTTCTTAGAAGGCACGGTGTGTCCACAGTGAAATTCACCTGATTTTAGACAATGTGTGCTGATTTAACTACCTCCCTCCCCCATCCAGTTCTTACCTAAAAAGGGAGATTGCAAGGATAAATTATACCACACTACAAAAAAGTACACCAATTCACTGCTGAATTCTGAAGTTTTGAGATTTTTTTATTTTGATATTTCACTGCACTTGGTCCCTCTTCAGGAGTTGAAGATAGCAGTAAGTCACAGCCATTGATGCACAGTCCTCAAAACATAGATGAGCTTGAGGATGAACCTCTATCCTGCCTGTAATAACTCTCCAATTGGAAAACTAAGGATATTAACTTTACTCACTAACGAATCTTCTCTTTGAGAGACATTTGGTAGTTACATAGCAAGGATTTGGCTTTAGAATTTACACCTGAGTTGGGAATCCTTTCTTGGCCATTTGCTTTCTCCCTGAGCTTACACAAATAAGACAAGAAAACTATCAAGTTCAACAAAACTAAATTGTGTAGTAGTTCTTAGTCAATAAATTTCAAAGATTAGTAGTTATTGAAAAATCTCAAGGAGAGAATGTAAGTACATCACCTACAAAAGTGGGTACTGATTCCTTCCCTAGTTGGAGATATGTAAGGGTTTGGTTTTTAGTCTTTAAGCTTAAGAAGTGGTTATCAGTAACAAGCAAATGTGGGACTGTACAGTGTTTGTGAACACATGCCAAGAAATGCCAGAGTGTTTTGAGTTACCAAATGTCTACTGCTGTCCAGAAGTCCTTGTTGCTTTGATTTGAATGTCTCACAGTCAGTCCATTCTAGGTTTTTCTATAAGAAGAATTACTAGTTTGGAAAACTTAAAATCTCCACTAGAACTAAATTGGACTTTTTCCTTGAAATGACTAAGGGTTCAAATTTGTGAAGGCTGTATGATCCTTCTAAAGATTTGCACATAGGTAAAAATGAAGACTATCTGCTCACTTTTGCTTCTGGAGGAAGATTCTCAATGTGGAAAAAGTATTGCTTATTCAAATATTTAATGTCCAACAGCTAGAGTAAAGTTCTGCAGGCCTACCTGGCCAAGTTTTAGGAACAGAAAATATGATTTTTGCCACATTGAAGTAAAGGCCATTTCACAATAACTTTATTTTCATTAAGGAACTGGGACAATTAAACATTGATATGATAGAATATTGAATGTCTACTATATGTTGGTTTTGGTTGAGAGTTAAATAATCGAGTAAGGTTCATAGGAATTTTTTGTGTATTATTTTCACCTTTACATTCCATGCATTGATATTTACATGTCAGAGATAACTAAAACTTACTTTCTTCTAGATAAAATTGTAAGGAAAGCTGGTGATCTGACAGGTGCTCATGTTTATGAAGTGGGTCCTGGACCAGGGGGAATCACAAGATCCATTCTCAATGCCAATATTGCTGAACTTCTGGTGGTGGAAAAGGACACCCGGTTCATTCCTGGATTACAGGTGCGATCCTTTTTAATTTTAGTTGGAGGCAGGGTCTTGCTATGTAGCCAGGCAAGCCTCAAACTCAACAATCTCTCTACCTTCTTCTCTTTTTTTTTTGCATGCTGGAATTGGAATTACAGGTGTGTGTCACAATGTCCAGCTGAGTGAGATGTCTGTTTTTAGGAAACAGTAGTAAGTTCAGGGCTCCAGGCATGGCAGAAGAGATAGGGCTCCTGCTTATCAAGCACAGTGACGTGAGTTCAAACCCAGGACTGTCAGAAAACAATTTTTTTTAAGTTTTTTTTAATCTATTTTTTAACTGTTTTTATTGTAAAGATACTGTACAGGAATTGCAGTTATATGAGTAAGGTAATGAGTACATTTCCTATCTAGCATTGTTACCCCCTCCTTTGTTTTTCCCCTACTATCCCTTCCCTCACCTTCCCCAACTTCTCCCTCTCCCCCTTCCCAAGTTATAAAGTTCATTTTCAACATAGTGTCTTGTACATCTCATTGTTACAATGGGTCAGCCTGTATCCTTGTTTCAGCATTTTGTTATTTCCCTTCCCCTTCCCAAATTAGAAAAATGTATATACAAAATACAGGACACTGGAATCAAATACAGTGACAACAGGGATTATACTATGGGGGAAGTATATACAAAAGTAATCAAAAAAAATCACATAGTACATTAAAAACAACAGCAACAAAGAAAAAAAACCTTTTGTGTTCCTATCTTGGGGCTCATTTTGCTTAGCATAATCTTATATGATCATATGTACATAGCTTTTGACCTTTTCTGCTTGTCTGGTAAGATTATCCTAGACATATACTAGTTATTGCAGATAAGGGAAACTATGGCACCTGTGTTTCTTTGGGCCTGGCTTAATATAATTTTTTCCAAGTCTTTCCATTTCCTAACAAATGGGGCAGTATCATTCTTTCTGATGGAGGCATAGAATTCCATTGTGTGTGTGTGTGTGTATGTGTGTGGATACATACATACACACACACACACACACACACACACACATACATACATATATATGTATGTATACCATATAGAAAACAGTTTTTGTTTTTGTTTTTTGTTTTGGGGTCTGGTCATGGGGCCTGAACTCTGGGTCTGGGCGCTGTCCCTCAGCTCTTCAGCTCAAGGCTAGCACTCTACCACTTGAGTCACAGCACCACTTCTGGCTTTTTTCTTTTTGCTTATGTGGTGCTGAGGAATCGAACCCAGGGCCTCATGCATGCAAGGCAAGTGCTCTACCACTGAGCGAACTTCCCAGCCCCTAGAAAACAGTTTTTAAAAGCATATCTTGAACCATGATTCTTAAACCTGATGCTAAACTGCTTTGTGTGGTTCTTTGCTTTTTATCTTTTTGTCCATTAATATTGCTTATCATAGCCCATTCCTTCAAAATAAACTATGCCCCATAATAACTCACTGACATCACTTTTGATAACCGTTCAATTAAGTTCAGAACAACATTTCCACAAGCAAAAGATTAAAAAACAAAACAAAAAGCTAGATCTTTAACAAAAGAAACTAATTGTTAAGTTTAAGCATTTTTGCAGGAGAATTTTCAAGTGAAGAAAAGAAATTGTACTTAGAATGAGGTTTACATGTATCTTTTAAAACACAGGGCAATATTTGAAGGAACTGAATGTGTTTCAGTTGAAGGAAGACAAGCTTTGAATGAGGATATTTATGTATGTATTTCTTTATGGTAGTGCTGGGATTTGAACTCAGCCTAGCACTTGCTAGACAGGGGCTCTGCAACTTGAGCCATACCTCTAGCCCTTGTTTATATTGGTTATTTTCAAGATAGCATCTCTTCATGTTGTTGGAATGGTAGGCCTGCACATCAGGTCCAGCTCTTTGTAGTTTAAAATGGCAGATGTGTAGCTGCATGCCACTGGTCAAGACACAATCTTGAGAACTTTTTTTTTGTTAGGCCAGGACTGGTCTCAAACCAGGATCCCCACCTCCCCAGTAGTTGAGACTACAGACCAGAGCCAGGGTGTCCAGCCAAGTGGAGGTCTTCATAGCTGCATCTTAAAGGTTGCCAGTGGAAAGTTTAAGCTTGATTTGATGTTTTCTAGGCAAGATTTACAACAAATAGGTGAGAGTTCAGGCAAAAGACAGGGTTGAGGAGGGAGTTAAATTCTTAAAACATTGGCAACCAGTGGAACCAATTTTATCAGAGAACTTGTAAAGGGAATTCCTCATAGGGAGCATTTAATGACTTCAGGGCCGTTGTTTGATTCCTATGTAATTCTAAAACTTTAATAGAGCCCTGAGCATTTGGCTCAGATGACTAGCAATTTATTATATGATTATAAAGGAACAATAAAATAATCCACATTCTTATTTCTGTACAAGAGAGCAAATTGGTTTAAAATTAGGACATTCAAATACTTATTTATGTATGTGTTAATGGAAAAATGTCTAATTTCTGTCAGAACAGTTTGAGAAAATTTGTTTTAAAACCTAGGACTTACTGCATGCATCTGAATTTATAAGAAACCTAGCAATGTTTCTTATTATCTAGTGTTTATGCAAGAATTATATAATGGTCAATTTTATCTAATTTTGTCAATCAGAACTCATTTCAGATTTCTGCCTTTATTTTGGGATTGTGGCATGGCGCCTAGTCCTTGGTGAAATGTGAAATTTAATAGCAATTTGGATCGTTGCTTTGAACCATGTTCTCCAATTGGGACTGTATCCCAATTTGAGGTAGAAGTGGGAATATTGTTATTTTTGTTGGGATTTACCACATGATAATAGGAAGCTGAATAACTCTTCATAATTCCTTCTGGTTTATTCTTGGTGCTTTCTTTATGTAGAGAGCTTCACATCTCGCCATCTGTTACATGTATTCTTCCTCACTAGGTACAAGGGAGAATCAAATATCTATTGATTCTGGTTTTACTTTATGTGGTCCCCAGACCGATCCTTTTTTGATAGTATGAGGGTTTGAATTAAGGATCTCAAGCTTGCTTACTCTGATGGTGTTCTGCCACTTGAGTCATGCCTCTAACTCTGCTTTGTATTGGTTAGTTTGGAAGTAGACTCCGGGAGACTTTTCTGCTTGGGCCGGCTATGAATTCAAATTCTTCAGATCTCAACTTCTTGAGTAACTAGGATTATAGATGTGAGCAACTCATACCTGACTGAAGACATTTTAAAAGAGCAAATAGCTAAGTATGGTGGGGTACATCTTATCCAGCTACTTACAAGGCAAGGTCAGATTTTCCAGGCCAGCCCAGGCAAAAAAATTAGTGTGATTCCCATTTCAACAAACAAGCTGGACATAATGGTGAACCTCTGATCCCAACTTTTAGGAAGGCATAGGTAGGAGAATCACACAGTCCAAGGCTGGTCCCAGGTAAAAAAGTGTGAGATAGTAGCCAAAAGTTAGAAAAGGGAAAAGGCGCTGGAGGTATGGCTCAAGTAGTCCAGTGCCTATCATGTAATCAAGACCCTACGTTCAGAGTCAGTACTAGAAACAAATAAAAGAGCAGCTGCCCTCCTTCTCTACCACCCTCATTTTACAGGCCCATGCTCCCTGCTCTGTACCTTATATCTCATTAGGTTTGTCATCATTGGACATGCTGAGTATATTTCTTCTCATTTGTTTATTGTCAGAGTGGTGACTCTGGAAGGTGAGTGTCTTGAGGGTAGTTTTGAGTCTTGTTTTGTTGCCTGCTCTATCTCCAGGACATATGACAGTACCTTCCTTAAAGCACAAGCTCAGTATTGTCTCACATGGAAAATGAGAGATTCACTGTCACTGTCACTGCCTTCATGTATCATATTAACTGCTAAATGTGTCATTCAGTAGTAAAAAGTAAACATGTAGCAAGAATTATCAAAAAGGTTTCTGTTCTCCTTTCTAAAAGCAAAAGTAATTTTCAAGGTAAACTACAGGAAATGTATATTTGACTTCTCATCAATTTCAGAAGAAGCAGAATTAATTCTTAGTGCCTTCTACATAGGAAGAAGACTTGCTTAAAAGAAATGTTGAGTACTAACACATAAGCTTCTTTTTCTTCTAAAGAATGTTTCAGTATGTAAAACTACTTTCTATTAGAGGTCCTAAATTAATCATAAAACTGAGTAAAGGCAGAAGGAAAGTGATCTATTTTAAGGATTCCATTCCAGTGATTTCTAAGCTAATAGAATTACTTTTTAAAGAAAGTGTAATAATTTATGAAATGTCTTGTAGATGAAAGTATGTCATTTGTAGCTTAATTCAGTTCTTACAGCATAATCATGAGGCAGCCAGGGAAGGAACACCTGGCGGTAACATGTAGGTTTCTCTTAGTGTGTTGTGAAGATAAGAAAGCATGGCTGATCAGTGAAATCACTGAAGAACAACTTCATAGTAGAGTGTGGCTTTCAGTGTCCAGTTACCTGAACTGACTCAGCTTCTGCTGTTAGTTTGTAACCTTCAGCAGTAAATTCTGTCCTTGTGACTACCTTTTACTCAGGGTAAAGTGATTGCCTGCCACTTAGGAAATATTCTGCAATCCCTGTTGTAAACAGTCTCATTGTTGTACCCATGTCTTGAGCATCTGTGGCTTTATGAGGAGACAGGTTCTGTAGAACAAGGCATAGGAGGAGGAGGTAAGATTGTCTCATAGAAGCATGGCAGATACCCAGTAAGATGAAAACATTGTAACCTTCCTTTGAATTGCTTGATTAGTACTTTTTGGTTGTTTATTTTCATTATGTTTTTGTGACTGAGCAGATTCCCTCTGCCTTGCAGGGAGCACAGTGCTGAGTGCATCCTTGGCTTGTCCCTGATCTTAGGGCAGATACCTTTGGTTTGTACTATGAGTTTGATGAGATGATTTTTTAAAAATCATATTAAGGGAGATTTTTTAAAAAATCCTGAGAGAAGTCTCTGCAATACCTAGTTTACAAAGAAGATTTTGGGTTTTAGATAATGAGTGAATGTTGAATTTTCAAAATAAAGAAAGAAAAGAGTGTTTCTAAGTTTACTAAA